ACCAAAAACAAAACAATACAAAGCAAAAAAACAGTCTCTATGTTGCCTATTTCTGTTACTAACAAATATTAGTATCTTAGCAGTGGAATGTAATTGAGATTTCTGGATGCTTTTTTGAGAGAAGCAAGAGACCTCATAAAATATAGCCAAAGTCTGAAATCAGAGTCTAAAGTATGGAAGAAACAGAACTAGTGGAGTGATAAAATAATTCTAAATGAGCAAGTGCACAAAAGCAAAGATCGAAATAGGAAAATATTAAACATGAAACCAAAACCGGCTGGGCTCAGTGGCTCAGCCTGTAATCCCAGCACTTTAGGAGGCTGAGTGGATTGCCTGAGCCTGCGGGTTCGAGACCCACTCAGGTAACTTAGCAAGACCTCATCTCTACAATAAAAAAATTATCCAGGCGTGGTGAGCACCTGTGGTTCCGGATACTTGGAATGCTGAGGGGGAAGGATCGTGGGAGCCCAGCAGGGCGAGGCTGCAGTGGCCGGGAGTATGCCACTGCACTGCAGTCAGGGTGACAGAGTGAGACTCCAAATCAAAACCAAAAAACTTCTTCTCTATAATCAAGATGCCTGTCCTCTATAAGTTTAGCACTACTGATAGATAAGGCCTCTGGTGAGGCCAAGGTAGATATGATAGGTGAGTGAATACAACCTAGAAACACACATCTGTTGAAAAGCTTCAGTATATGCAATTTCTTCTTCTTGCTATATTGCCCAGGCTAGTCTTGAACTCCTGGCCTCAAGTAATCCTCCTGTCTCAGCCTCCCAAAATTACTGAGATTACAGGTGTGAGCTACTGCACCCAGCCCCAGTCTATGCAATTTAACTGCCAAACAACTGACAGAAATTAGTGTTAAAAAGTGTGTTAAATTAACTGCCTTGAGATTGTCTTTACAAACAGTTACAATAAATCTAAAATCTAAAAGAACAAATCTTTCAGACTGCTTTCCCAATTATAATTCTGTAACTGTCTTTTTAGTTGTAAACTCTCATGAGAAGGAATGGGAAAACTGGCTGGATTTCCTCAGACAATAAGAGCAAAAGAAACACAGCACAATGCCCACAAAGACTCCCAACCTATGCTTGAGTTGAAGCCAATATAAACTAATTAGCCCTGAGAAGTCAATCTCCTTTCTCCACCTAGCTCTCACTTAGGTGAGAGAACTAACAGCAACCTACAGAGAAGGTCTGAAAGAGCCAGACCAAACTATTAGACGCCCTTCTGAGGGGGACTGCAGACTAAGAGGGACACGAGTAAAGATTCATTTTTATTTTATTTTTTTGAGTTGGAGTCTCACTCTGTCGCCCAGACTGGAGTGCAGTGGCCGCTCCCGGCCACTGCAGCCTCGACCTGCTGGGCTCCCGCGATCCTTCCGCCTCAGCCTTCCAAGTAGCCAGAATTACAGGCACGCGCTACCACGCCTGGCTGATTTTTTGATTTATTGTAGAGATGAGGTCTCGCTGCCCAGGCAGGTCTCGAACCCATAGGCTCAGGCAATCCACTCACCTCAGCCTCCCAAAGACGTGGGATTACAGGCAGAGCCACCGAGCCCAGCTTTAAAGATTCATTTTTAAAATATACTGCTCAGACTTTTAAATAATCTTATCTTTGGTGCCTGAAATGAAAAGAGTTCAATTGGTAATAAACATATACAAAGCAGGAATCTTATCCGAGTTCAATCTATATTCAATGGACAGAATAGTAATAAACAGTTTAGTCATTTACCAACTCAGGGCTTTTTTATCATCTGAAAACTAATACTACTATCAACTTACAGGGTTGGTTTAAGGACTAGACAGAATATAAATAAGACATTCATACAGGGCCAGCACTTGGTAGATGCTCAGTCAATAGCAAAAACCACTGTTATTATTATTCCTAGACATAAGAATTAAAAAAACTACCAAAAGAAAAACACAGAGGATTCATAATACACAGAATAAACAGATCATAATGTTTCAAGATAAAATACAATAAACATTAAGAAGTTATTAGGAGATGTTTTTAAAAGGCTTTACTTGGCCACAAAAATTATGACTGAAGTTATTTTTTTCAAAAATTGACTTCACTCCAAGGGTAAGTTTTATATGTGTTCTAACTACAAAATAAAATTAAAAGACAATGCAAAAAAATATTTGTTTTCAACTCTTCAAGTATTTGTCACAATGAGGTAAAGTGTGGGAAAGGAAAAAAAAACTAGCCAAAGTAAAAATAATAGAGAATCTCCACTATGTTTTGACACTATTTTATATCCCAATTATCGGGTTCATGCATTTTAAAAGGTCAGTTTTAAATATACAAATCATTTATGACAGGCCCTGGCTAGAGTCTCCAGGCTCCTTAAAATGCTTTAATATCTCAAACATGAAAAACTGCTTAAATTGGGGGATAGTTAAGGAATAACTGGAGACCTAATTAAAGTAACTAAAAGCAATCACACACATGCAATTCATTTTCTAGGTTTCTGTGGCTGACTGAATTTCACAGACAACTATAGAGGGCAAGCCCATCCTCCATAAAGCCTTCCCGATCCTGCCTCAGACCCTCATGCAAAATCAGTCCACCTTTCTCTCATTATATTTTTTGTTAATTCAAATAAAACTTAACTAAGACTCAACTGTACCTTAATTTCCCCTTGTTAGCTAAGATTTGCCTACTTCCTAATTTATATAAGTTTAAAAGAAAATGATAAAATGCTTAGATAATATTCTATTAAAACACAAAACTTGAGGTAACAAGTAAAGGCTAAACAATCATTGCAGTCCCCAAGCGCCTGCCCTTCAACACCGACTGCTTGTGCTGAAAGCACAAGCATTCAGGGGGCTCCAGAGGGCAAACTGCTTCGCTCAGTTTACTTTACAGGAAAACCCAACACTGTGACACTAAAGCAGATTACTTTAAAGCAGGAGTCTCCAAGCCCTGGGCCACGGACTGGAACTCATCTGTGGCTGTTAGGAACTGGGTCTCACAGCAGAAGGTGAGCAGCAGGCGAGTGAGGGAGGCTTCACCTGTATTTTCAGCTGCTCCCTGTCGCTCACATTACCACCTGAGCTTGCCTCCTGTCAGATCAGCACTGAAAAGCCTGCTTCCATCTCCAGCACCCTGTTTTTGTGAAGCAAGGTTTTCTGCAGTGACAACAACCAAGATGAGATTACAGAGTAGACTAGCCATAAGTGACACAGTTTGGTTGTCATTGTCTCCCATCACCCACCCAGATGCTAAGTTTAGTTGCAGGAAAGCAAGCTCAGGGCTCCCACTGATTCTGTGTTATGGTGATTTGTATAATTATTTCATTATATAGTACAGTGTAATGATAATAGAAATAAAGTGCACAATGAATGTAATGCACTTGAATCATCCTGAACCAACCCCTCCCACCCCCTCAGTCTGTGGAAAAATTGTCTTCCATGAAACCGTTCCTGATGCCAAAAAGGTTGGGGACTGTTGCTTTAAAGGAAGACTCAACTTTTTCTAAGTGGGTGTGTATTTTTTACAAATGAATTTTTTCCTCATTCTCATTGCTTTCAGCTTAGTAGGAGCAGTGATGCTCTTTGAAGGACACCCAGGACCTAGGGCATGATTATGAAACCTCTGTCACCACAAGATAAAAGAGTATTTAAGTCACTTTGAATGCTTGGGATGCCATTTAAAAATTATGAACAATGACAAAAACACATATGTAAGTGAAGAAGGTTTAGAATGTAATCCAGATCTTAGCTGCACCTGAAAAAGCAGTATAAACAAGGAAATATGACATCAATTAAGTCATAAATATTCTTATCCTACAGAAGTCAGAACACAGGTGGCGCTGGAATTCCTAAATTGTGTACAGAAGTCTGTTTGGCAAGGTTTCTGTTACAATGCCTGTTAGTAAATGAATAAATAAATCCTATAAAGATGAAAAATTTGTCTTTCCATCTTGATGCTGCATAAGAACTTTGGGTGTCTTCCAGAAAGAGGCAAAGAGAAGAAAAAGAAATAGATTCGGAAGCCAGGCTTGGTGGCTCAGCCTGTAATCCTGCGCGTCTGGGAGGCTGAGGTGAGTGGATTGCCTGAGCCCATGGGTTCGAGACCCGCCTGGGCAGTGAGACCTCATCTCTACAATAAATCAAAAAATCAGCCGGGCATGGTAGCGCATGCCTGTAATTCCGGCTACTCGGAAGGCTGAGGCGGAAGGATTGCCGGAGCCCAGCAGGTCGAGGCTGCGGTGGCCGGGAGCGGCCACTGCACTCCAGTCTGGGCGACAGAGTGAGACCCCAACTCAAAAAAAAAAAAAAAAAAAGAAATAGATTCAGGAGAGAAGAACACTATCCCAAGAAAGCAATAACCACTACCACCTTCTTAATCTTCCATGGTCAAAACCCAGTGACCCCTATGCTAAAGGCAACCAATCCGTGCTGGCACTTGGCCAAGATGAAGTCTCAGCCCCAAGCTGCACAGACAGAGGGTGGCTCTGCTCAAGCCCTCCTTTCCCTCTGTCATGTCTCAATGCAACTTCCTCCTTCTGGTCCCCCTGATTTTGAATTCAGTTAAAACATTTCCCACTCTGTAAAGACTTCCAGCTCTCTCTCACCAACGCCCAGAAAAATCAAACCTCTCTTCTTCAGTAGCCCCAGGATACTCTTCCAAAGCTCCTTTTATGGGAGATTGTATTATTTTATAGTTTCTTATTAAAATGTCTGCCTCTCCCACAAACCTGCTAGCCCCTAGAAATAAGAGACCTTGGCTCATTTGTGTTTATCCAGCACATAGCAGGTGCTCAATAAATGTCTCGTGGAAGATGGAGGGAAGGGAGGACAGGTGGGTGGATGCAGAGGTGATAAAGTACAGTACCCCAAAGCAGAGAGAGTTCTGAGGTACAAAAGATAGTGTTGCTCTCTGTCTCTGCCTTTGCACAGGGAGAAAACAGAAATAGGAAGAAGACCATAGCTGCCCTTGTGGGTTTCCCATGTCAAACAAGGTGGCAAATAAAAGTCTCCATGAGTCTTTACCCAGGGATGCCAACAGCTCATAATTCATCCGCATCACATCTCTGTACAGCTCCTTCTGCCGCTTGTCTAGCATGCCCCACTCCTCCCGGGTGAAATACACCGCCACGTCCTCAAACACCACGGGGAGCTCCTCAAACACCATAGGAACCTCCTCCAACAGTCCCTCTTCAGAAGGATCCTGCAACAAAGAGCAGCAGTCACTCAGCACACCTTTGAGTCAGACATCCGCGTGAAACTTCTGGGGGCCTCCTGAAGACCCATTTCTCCTGGGAGGCTTACCAAAAGGCCCAGATGTACTCTGAGGAATTAGTTTATTAATTGGAAGTCAAAGAATCAAATTAATGAGGCCCAGAACCAATAGGTAAAAACCAAATGAGCCTCAGTCAGATTCTAGGATCTTCTGAGAGGAAATATAAACACACCGAAAGAACATATCAGTAGAGCCCATGACTGTACCCTGTCCTTAGAGTCCTAAGAGCAGCTTTCTGCTACAGAAGTGACTGTCTGCCTCTAGGAGTGCCTACAATGATTTTCCAATGGCTTGGAAAGGAGGATATGCTCAAAAAGAACTAAAGATGCTGATAATCAGTGACTATGTATATATATATATATATATATATATATATATATATATATATATATATCAGCATCTTTAGTTCTTGTATAAGTTCGATGCAACTTAGTTGATGCATTCATCTGTAGAATTTGTTTCTGGCATGGCAACATTGTGGTGTTGGGAGCTTATTTGTCATTTGGAGTGCCAATGCTGTGCTTGTGACTACACCTTGCATTTTGCAGATATGAAAAAAGTTAGTGCTATTTGTGGGCTAAAGAAGATGGAGTATTGAGTAGAAAACCACAAACACTTCCAACATATTCTTTTGCTTGAGTTTAACGGAGCAGTAAAGGCAATAGAAGTGGCATGAAACATTTGTGCTATGTACGGGGAGGATGCCATTGGGGAAAACATGGAAAGAAAATTTTAGCCGGGTTCAGTGGCTCAGCTTGTAATCCCAGCACTTTGGGAGGCCAAGGCAAGTGAACTGTCTGAGTCCGCGGGTTTGAGACCAGCCCAGGCAACTTGGCGAGATCTCGTCTCTATAATAAATAAAAAAATTAGCTGAGCGTGGTAGCATGTGCCTGTAGTTCCAGTTACTTGGAAGGCTGAGGCGGAAAGATCACCGGAGCCCAGCAGGTCAACTCAACTCTAGAATGGCTGTGAGTGTCCCACTGTACTCCAGTCTGGGTGACAGAGTGAGACTCCAACACACACACACAAAATCTTTTTCAAAGAGGGCCGCTTTGATCTGAGTGATTCTCCATGTTCAAGAAGACGACTGGACTTTGATGAAGATCACTCAAACACTTTAATCCACAGTGATCAACATCAGTCAACCCAAGAACTGGCAAATGTGATGAAGTGTGACCAGTCAACCATTGCACAACGTGTGCATTCCATAGGCAAGTGAAAAGCACTGCGAACGTATGCATCAACTACTCCGACCTGTCTGTCTTTTATCTTTCCATACACTAGATTTGCACATGCCTCGGTGCTAAAGAAATTCAAATTATGAAAGGTTACACTTGTTCATTAGCTTCTAAACTAAAAATTAGCAGGAGTATGAACATGAACATAAAGAGAAATGAGCTTTGTTGTTTTTCTGGATTCTGGAAAAATTTAAGCTTACTAACTTGAACTGGTTTCCTTAAGATGTTAACTATAAGGAACATCTGAGCTAGTCTCATTCGACTCTGGAGAGGGTGAGAAAAATGATATGTAATAAAATCTTATATATAGGTGAGAAATGGGGAAGGTTCTAGTTACTCAAAGAATCCAGTCAGCAGAATCTCCTTAGAGGCTAACTTTCCAAATAATTTGATACCTATAAAATAAATGTCAGGTAAGCACTAGAGCCCTTTAGGGCCAGGAATGGAGTGAGGAGTGGAAGGCAAGGAATGTGGTCAGTGGCTCTAGATGAAGTCCAGTAAGGGCCATAACAGCTCTTGGACCTGGATGTTTCATTTCCTCTCAAGTCTCAGTTTTCTTCCAAGACAAGTATTTGTTTTTGAGACAGAGTCTCACTCTATCACACAGGCTGGAGTGCAGTGGCATGATCATGGCTCACCACAGTCTCAACTTCCCGGGCTCAGGTGATCCTCCCACCTCAGCCTCCCAAGTAGTTGGTACTACAGGCACATACCTCTGCACCTGGCTAATTTTTTATGTTTTATAGAGATATGGTCTCTCCAGCTCCTGAACTCAAGCGATTCTCCTGCCTCGGCCTCTCAAAGTGCTGGAATTACAGGTGTGAGCCACAGCGCCCAGCCCCAAACAAGTTAAACAGCACTTGTTCGACCAGCCTCATAGCAACATTAGAAACAATACATCAAACAACACGTGAAAAACTTTGCAATGTTTAAAAGTGCTACATTATACCAAAATTAAAGTTTAAATTTTAAAAATACTGATAAGAGCTCTGTGGTTGTTTTGTGGTTGTGAATTATTTCTTGAGTTCTATGTTTCTTTTGGATTCTGAATAAAGATTATTTTTTCCTTCATATCAGAAGTTAGAATATTCTGTCCCATTAATTATGTTTTGCTATTTGCAAAAAGGAGATGATAATAATAGGGTTGTTGTCTGAATTAAATGAGACAATACATGTAAAGCACTTAAAACAATGCCAAGTCCATTATAAGTTAGCTCATAACATTATGTTAGTAGCGAGTATTGCGGTTATTCTTTTATCACCACCATCATGTGATATACATTGTTCGCAGTACAGAATCCTTCTCTGTAAGACACAGCAATCATTATAAATGTGTTACCTGACTGCAGGATTCAACAGCACCATTACATAGAATGTTCATGTTTGAGGAGTTGTGGATACCATCAGTGATTTCTTTCTGCCTCAGACCTGAAATGCAGTCTAGATACAAAGCAGGAATTGCTCCATTACCCCCAGGGTTTCCTAGTTCAGCCTTTGAACTTGGAAGGAGCTCAGCCATACTATCAAAGTCTCCCAGAGGTCCTGGGGGGTAGAATATGGGATAATCTGCAGTGAAGAGGTGCTCTGGGCTGGCCAGTACATCTCCAGATGGATCTCTGATGCTACGGAAACGGGCTGCCCAGAAGGGGTCCCTTGCTGCCAAGGCATTGACACAGAACATGTGAGCTTTGCTCTTGGCATGGTACTTGAGAGTCTCCACCTTGAATGGTCCTGTGTAACCTTCTATTAATCTTGACCGTTTATCTCTGACAGATGGGTATTCCCGGCAAGCAGAGCAAAACAGAGCCGTCTGTTCCTCATTCATAACCAGCCATGGAAACTGTGCAAACCATGACTTCTGGATAGAACGGGGTTTCAGAAGTTTCTTGCTTCTTCCTGTCCAGTCTGTCTCGATGTTGCCACTCTCTGTAGTGAAGTGGGAGAGGCAGGCTTTCTTCTGAGGTGGCAGGTACTGTCCCCTCTCCCTGGTGGGACCTTGCACCTCTGTTTCTTCCATGTAGCCTATGTGACTTTTTCCTTTAGAGAAAAGAGACAAATGGAATTTGCTTTGAAATCCTATAGTTAGAGCTACTGCAACTCACATAGGCTTTCATATACATCAAATATGAAAAGTGGAAGGTATACACTCAGACAGAAGTGGCACAGCCTCTATCTGAATTATCTTCTTTGAGTCCCCCCAACTCTGCAGGCCCTTACTTTACCTAATCCCCCCAAAAGTCAAAGGGATGGGCTTTAAACAAGTTCCCTCCCTCCCTTAAATTTAAAGGACAGATACACCTGGCCAAAAAGAGATCTTTGAAATTTCATCTATGAAATGTAAGATAGTGGCACAATCTTCAGAGGTCAAAGTTTATTTACAGATAAGAACATTAATATTATAGAACATAAGGTTAAAAAAAATCATTAAAGCCATATAATCCTACTTCTTGCCCAGCAGAAATCCCCTTCTCAGTAGGCCTCACAGATGAGCACCTGTGTTTTGCTTAAGTACCGTTTTAGGGCAAGAGAGTTACCTCCCCCTGGGCAGACAGTTTTGGTCCCCAGAGTTTTCCTTAAGCTGCAATCTTTGAGTACTTCTACCTCAAAGTACTGAATGGTGATCCAGCCCTCAAGAGAAACTCAAGTCTAATTCCTCTCTTACACTACAGCTCTTCAGAGAGGTGAGAACTCTCCTGACCTCACTAAGACTTTTCTTTTTCCATCTGAACCAGAAGTTTTTTTATTTGCTGTAGATGAAATGCAGCTCAGATGACTCTCACTCTTCTAGGATCATTTCTTATGCACCAACAAAAGTTCCCATGCCCAGTGGCCAAGGACTCAGCAATTTTTATGTCAGGCCAATAAAACCATCTACAAAACTGTGGCTAATTCCGAGAGCACAAAGCTGTTAATAGTTAGCAAAATTAAAATTAAGAGCCAAGCGGTAGAAAAGACACAAATTAGTTTCTATGATACTTCACAGTCATAAAGCAGTCTAGAGTTCTTGTTGTCCATCTGAGAGAAATCATGAGGGAGATCAAACTTTTGTGATTCAATTAATACAGTATCTTGTTCCCTATCACTTTTTTCTCCTATAGTACGAGCTGGGCTAACTTAGTTATCTTACATAATAACAAGATGCCATCTGGCCTGGCTCCAGCTAGGTCAACCCCTGGATAGGAGAGGCTTATCAAAGGAGGGAAAAAAAGATAAATCCCTAGAACTTAGCAGACATCAGTTCATTCATTCACTCATCTATTCATTCACTCAGTGATTATCTATTGTGCAACTGCTGTGTACTGTTCTAGACACTGGGAATATGTTAGCAAATAAGCCAAAGCCATGCCCGAGACTTATGTAATTATATATACCCTCAGATAGAAATAAAATAAAGGGAGATGAGAGGTTGTAGAAGGATACTGGGGGAGGTATGTATATTTAGAGTTGGAGAAGAACTGCATTGTTGCTTCAGTTGGTAGAGAACAGAGAGGGTAGAGGATGAGCCTTGTACTCAGCATCCACTCATTCTCCGGCTGAGCCCTTGCCTTTGGGCACAGGTCCAAACTCACTTGGGTGATGCTCCAGGAGACGCCTCTGGTGCTGGATGCTGCCTAGCCATGGCTCTGGCCCTTGTTCAAACTTGTAAAACAGCTCGGAGTTGGCAACAGTTGGTCCTGAGTCAGGAACAGAGAAACACACTATGAGGGCCAGGCTCCAAGTCACAACATGAAGGTGAGATCTGTCTGTGTCATTTTCTCAACATGGTAACAGGGTCAAGGAGGAAAGTAGGAATCTTGATGATTTGGCAGTGGTTTAGAAACTCAGATATCCATAAGACCCCTAAAAGAATGGAGACCAGGTAAAAGTAATGAGGGGCACAAGGAAAACTAAAAAGCTATGAAAACCATTGGTTCAGACAGAGGCCCATGAAACCAAATGCTGACAGGGACCAGCCTGATTATATAACCGAGGAAACCAGGCTAGGTGTGGGGGAGTGTGGCAACCTAGAGGACTTAATCCTGTGTAAGGGGACAGCGGCTACTCAACTTCAGAGGCTGTCACATGGAATGCACCCTGCCACACCCACCGTCCTGTTTGTCATCAGAAGCCAGAAATTAACAATTTTATGTGAAAACTCCCAGTGATTAAATATTGGCAACTTCCTTAAATGTTTTTAAGAAGACAAAAGCAGTGAAAGCCAAAAAAACAAAGCAAAACAAAACAAAATCCCAATCTGAGCCAAATCTGGTTCATAAACTGCCACTTTGCAAATTCTGGTTTAGAAGAATCTGTGGTCTTCAAACCTTTTAGAGCAGCACAGGAAGAAGACTCACCTCAGCTACAATTCCTCCATCCACAAAAAACTGAGACTATTACTCCTAACATAGCTTAGGCCAGAACCAAGATGAAATAAAGAAAGACATGGCAGACGGTCATCAAGCTGCAATCAACAAACAGTACACACATGTACACGCATGTTGAAAGGTAGCCTCCTCTTTCCTTAGTGCAGAAAGTCTTCCCAAAGAAGCAGAGCAAAGAACATTTTAAAAAATAAGGCCAGGCTCAGTGGCTCAGTCTGTGATCCCAGCACTTTGGGAGGCCTAGGCTAGTGGACTGCCTGAGTCCGCGGGTTTGAGACCAGCCCAGGCAACTTGGCAAGATCTCATCTCTACAATAAATAAAAAATTAGCTGGGCATGGTAGCACACACCTGTTGTTCTGGCTACTTGGAAGGCTGAGGCAGAAGGATTGCTGAAGCCCAGCAGATTGACGCTGGGATGGCCATGAGCATGCCACTGCACTCCAGCCTGGGCAACAGAGTGAGACTCCAACTCAAAAAAAAAAAAAAAAAAAAGAGAGATAACAAAAAAAAAATCTACATTTGTACAAAGTTTTAAACTGTTTCATTTCACTAACTCTCTATAGCAGCCCTAGAAAAATTCATACAAGGCATTAAAAGGCCAAAAGCACTCAAATATCCAGGGGTAGAGCTGAAACTGAGACCAGACTTCCATACTGCAAATGTAATGCTCTTTCCACCACCACATCCTACCTCCAGTGTCTTATGGGCTCCACAGATCCACAGGCCAAGTTTCCCACCTGGTACCCTGGGGTAACTTGAGGCATCCAGGAGACAGACATAAAGGTCTATCCTTCCCCTGCTGGATTGCCTGGCTTCTCTTGACCATTTTAAGAGGAATTCACATGCAATTAAGTTCGATATGGGATTGAGCAGATAGGTGGTATAAAGATGTCTAGAAAAATGTTTGGATTCCAGAAAGTTCTTCAGTCTTCCTATCCTGGATAAGGTTGGGGATGCTGATCTAGACTGATGGTGGTGTGGGGACATGGTCAGGAATCCATACCCAGCGGTGCCACCAGCTTGTCAGAACCACAAATCTTCTTCTGCTGCTGACTCAGCAGCATCCATTCTTCCTGGAGCAAGTACACAGTGATGTCATCAAATGTCACAGGAGCCTGGAAGGAAAAATGATAGCTGCTAAGTACCAACTTCTGCCTTAGATTTTTCCTCCACATCGGTATCCTTGACCACCTGAGGGCACCCCTACTTTGGGAACGTACCAGATTGAGAGAGCTGTTGGCAATTTACACACACGACCCACACCTCATCTCTTGAGTCACCCAGGTGCAGGTCACAGTGAGAATGAGACTGGCTCTCCTAAGAAGTGCCAGGCACTGAAACAAAACCCTGAAGTAGGCTAACTCAGGAATTTCACCATCCTCTTCCTGCATGCTCTTCACCTGCTGTCTACACACCCATCACTTCTCAGCTGGGGGCAGCAACTTACGGCACATTCTTTTACTAACTCTTGAACTTGGTAAATCTTCACTTAGGAAAATGTCCCTGATTTCTAGAAATAGCTGAAAGTCATTTAGAACTATGTCTGTGAATGAATCCAATGATGAAGACAGCAAAGCTTTATAGCTGAGACCATGTGGCTTGTAAAGTAGCTCTGTGGAGGTAGAGGAGTTCACAAAGTGTCTGAGAGAGTTCTGGATTGAGAAGGCAGATTAAACAAGGACATGTAATTTAGCTAATTCCTGGTGAATTTAAAATATGATCTTCTGCCCCTCCAAAACAAAACACTCACTGTGACAGGAAGCACAAGGAGACAACAGGAATTCAACTTAGGAAACTGAAAAGCAGATGAAAAAGTAGGAACTGAGCAGATCCAAGAAAACTGAAGCCTCACCTGGCTGTGGGCAAAGCTGAGAAATCACCCACTTTACACTACTAAATCCTCCAAAGGCTCAGGATCTAGTGGCATAGAAAATCTCTGGTCTGGGAGCGCAGGCAGGTCAGCTAAAATAATAAGAACTGGGGGAAAGGTGTTCCCCAACAAATGCCTCCCCGAATTCCCCCACACGGAGATTCCACATTGATAAGCCCCTTTCTTTCCTGTACTCAGAGTTTTTAGTCAGATTTTTGGTCTTCCACTGTTCAATGTTAGGAGACTGGACTACCAGACTTTTGAGGAAAGGCTCTAACAGGGACTACAGACACCAAAGTAGATGGGGTGGGGATGCTAAGGAAAGAGAGAGGAGAAAACAAAACAAAAAACCCCCACTATCATTAATACCATCAGAGAGGTAAGATATTGCTGCCATGAAATAAAAAATCATAAAAAAAACCAGAAAAGCAGAAGTCTATAATTTTACATTTTGTAACACAAAAACTTATCACCGAGTCAAAGAAATAAAAAATAAATAAAATTATCAACAAAAAATAAATTTACTATCCCAAATAAAAATGACATTTTGGGAAATGGCAGCTTGACATTTAACATGAAACACCTGGCCTGGCGTGGTGGTTCACACCTGCAATCTCAGCACTTTGAGAGGCGGAGGTGAGAGGATTGCCTGAGCCCAGCAAGTCAAGACTGAGGTGACCCTGAGTGTGCCACTGCACTCCAGCCTGAGTGACAGAGTGAAACTTTGACTCAAAAAAAATAAAAGAAAGAAACACCTATTTTAAGTCCAATAGTAGGTACTTCTTGAGAGAAATTACACAGATAATTCTTATTAGTCACTATAATAAATGCAAAAATATAATTTGGGTATTTTTCTGCAAAAAATTTAGACAATAGAAATAAGCAGGAAAAAATTTTAAAATCAGCATTCCCCTCACTGAAAAAAAATTAGTTAACATTTGGTATATAACCTTCTAATCTTTCACTTATGTCTATGTATGAATTAATCACTTCAAAAACAAAAATGGAATTATGCTGCCAAATATGCATGTTTTAAATAACTATTTGCTCTACAGTTTCTTCCAAAGCAATATGTCATTTTATTTTCAAAAACCTGTTGGAGGATGGGCTCTATCAACAGGAAAGGGTTCTACATAAGATATAGCCCAAGGATGTCCAGCATGGGGATGGGGGGTGAAGAAGAAAACCCTGAAATTACTCAGAAGGCATTCAGATGACTGCTGTATACCAGGACTAGAGGGTAAACTGTTCAGATTGGGGCACATTAAAACACTGACCAAGGACAAGCAGGCTCCCTGTTCATACCCACCTGTCCCCCAGCATGCACAAGTGGACACGATGAGGGCCAAGGGACACCTCACTTTAGCTCTACATGAGGAGGAGTATGGCTTACGACCGAATGTTGAATAATAAAAAGTGTCTTCCCAGTAAGGATGGCTAGACTAAAACCTCTTTTAAGCAATACTCTGGCAAGAGCTTCCTGATTTCGGGTGACTGCAAAGGGAATAAAACACAAATTCACTTCAGTAAGAGGATTCCTTATCTATGCATAGAGCAAAGAATATCTCCAGATATTCTCCAGATGTTCTATTTTAGTGGTTTCCATTGTCTACAGGGTAAAGCTGACTTCTCAGCCTAGTACCGAAGTTCCCTCAATCTGAATCTAACCCGCCTTCCTAACCTCAGCTCTATGTGTCCCCCTACCTGGAATCTCTCCTTCAGCCAGATTAGTATCACTGCAGTCACTCACCCTACCTTGCTTCTTTCCTCTCTACACACCCATTCTTTGGATCTCTGCCCATTTCCTCTCACCTACTTAGAATCCACCCACCCATCAAGTTGGGATTCACATTCCATCTCTTTCAGGAGGGATTTCCTAGCTATCTGGTCCAAGCATTTCTCCTTCCCTGGAGCAAGGAAGGCTTTCCATCCCTCCTAGAGCCTGGTCCTCAGGAAACCTATGCTGATTGGCTTATATTTTAGAATTCCCTTCACCAACACCACTCCTCTCCCTGACACCACATACATTATATGGAAAGCATTTCATAGGTAATTAACTCATTTTTTCATTCAACATATATTTATTATTTAAGTGTTTCTTTGTGCTTGGTGCATGGTGATCCAAAGATACAAGGTTAAAATCTAACAGGAGATTATGTCATTTGGAAATAAAATGACAGATAGCTATAAGTACAGTAAGAGAACTGTGTTCAGAGAAAGATGAGAAGGGAGTGGAGAGGGCTAGAAAACAGGAATGTTGAGGCAATAATTACATATATAGATAAGTACATGTACAGACTCCTATTTGGTAGTAGCAACAACAGTCTCCCAGAAGGGCACATGAGGTGTCAGGCTGCAGTGTTCCTCAGAGCACCCACACCTTACAGCAAATGGGCTCCAACAGTGATGTTATTTTATGAGCCAGTCTTTCTTTCTTTTTTTTTTTTTTGAATTGGAGTCTCACTCTGTCACCCAGACTGGAGT